TATTATAATGACAGTGCGGACACTTCAAAACAACCAATCGGCTTAGATGACGGCTAATCCTTTCGAGTGTGGAAGCAGATGTGCCACACAGTGTCTCTAATATTTCCAAACGTGTGCCAGAGTTTGAGCTTCTGCGGGAGTTAACGTTAGTCTAGGGCAGAGTCCTAAGATACACTTGCCTCAGATTAACATTGGCCGTCCCCCTGGTCTTCTGCCAGTCAGTTGGGCAAGAAGTAGTTGCCTCACCTTCCCTTCTGAAGGCATTCGCTACATGTGTCAAAGCCGTAGCAGCTGTGACTTTTCAATCTGGAGAACTAACCAAGGCTCTTTGGGATATCTGAACTTTGAACCATATCGAGAGGAATGACCGCAGGGATTCGTCTCCGCAAGTCCATTTCAGTCGCATGTACAAAGGATCGAGGTTTCTCAGTCATGGTCCATGACCGCATGACTACAGACGAGCATGGGAATGAAGATTGATTTGAACAGAGAGAGCCTAGTCTTCAGACTCTACTCTGCTTGAATCGATAACAAGTTGAAATTTATTTATATTAAATGTTAATTAACTCTGTTTAAATTGAATAATTTCAAACCATATTATTGTCCAGCAGACTGCCCATGATGCCTCCAAAGGCAATAATATTGGTTAGATTAGCAAAGAAGAGAAAAAACGCCGCAGCCATGCACTGAGAAAATGCCCGCCAGCCAGAAAAGCCATCTTTAAAGTCAGACAGGTAATATGGCATTCTTCTTTTGATATCCTCCATCAGTCCACCAAAAATCCTAAAATGTTATACATCAGCAAACAAATCATGAAATGGTTTAGTGCAAGAAATAAAAGCAACTACGCATAAAATAGCAGTTTCGCCCAGAATTATTTAAAACAATTTTCAAGGGGTTCATACCGGGTCTCCAATGCTCACTTTCGGTGTCAGCCTCAATGCTTGAACAACATACACAATATCAGATTAATTTAGAGTGCAACTGTGTAAAGTGCATAATTTCAGTTAGCAGAGTAGCCGTGAGATTTGTTTTGAACTATGAACGGTCACAGCGGCTTAGCGAGACTGGCGACCACGATTGGCAGAGACATTTATACCTTTAGGGAGGATCTGATCTCCGAGAATAAAACTGCGAACTCAAAAAGACCGGATTTCAGGATCAAAGCTGTAAGTACACGAAAATCTTTTATATGGCTAACTACACTTTGAACCAAAAATGGCTGCTCGTATAAAAGAAAGTAGAGTGTATTCTGCTGGAGCGATGTGTGGAGAATAGGATTACTATATGAGGGAAACAACGGCAGGCGGTTGAACAATTTGTGGTCCAGGATACCAACCACAACAAATGGTAAAGATTTTACTGCCAGCGCATTTGGTTACATGCACCTTAGTAGCATCAGGGCAACACGTAAATGATTGCATGGAGGGACTTATATCTTTGATTAAACCCAAGGATACTGTCCAAGTAGACCAACAAACGGCAGTTCTATAGTTTATGTCACAGATATCCCAAAGAATTAAGTGGTACCTAACCAACACGTAATTTAGAGCCTATTAGAAGACAAGCACAACATTCGGTAATATTTGTTTCAAGAACTACGTGCCCACCAACCTGGAGAAGCGTTAAATGTTGTCTACAGAATCCAGTGTTAAGACTACGATACGAGCATATTGGAAAGTCCAACAGGAAGTTGAATATTCGAATCAAAGAGCGCTTGCCTGCGATCCGCCTCGGGCAAGCGGACAACATCGGCATTACTCAGCTTGCCATATCAGAAGAGAGCTCCTTCGGCCGGATCAATGTGTTTATTATAGACAAAGACCACCAAAAATTAGGTCTTCCGATAAAAATCTCTGCATATACTGGCACAAAAGTATCGGATGTTCAAACGAGTACACAGTTTCTGTGTTCATCAATGAAACCTGGAATACAATCTCTAAACACTTAGTACGAAGAATCGGGTCAGCATAACGAATATTCGATCATTTTTTGGTTTCAAATGTGAATTTAATGTGGTGTTTATTGGTCTACATTCTATGTTATATATGTCTCAAACTGTTAATAACAATTTTGTTTGTCAGATATATGTCAACAGGACAACAACGCCACTGTTTTTGCTTCTAGGATACAGGTCCCTCAATGCAACAATTTACGTCTAGCCCTGATGATGCTACTGTGTATATGGCAGTAAAATACTCTTACTCTACTGTTTGGTTTCCTGAACCAAGAAAAGTCAAATAACTGTTGGCCCAGAACCAGAAACCTGAAATCAAATTCTGAGAATATAACGTTCGGCACAACTCAGATGGTAGATATCTGAAACTTTGTCAAAACTTACAAATCATGTCACCATTTCTCGAAGCTGTGGAAGAATGTTTTCTTCTGCTCAAAGGGCCAAAACATGATGTACAATTTTACATTATATTTCAGTCGAACTTAGTGGCATGAACGAAATTCATTTAATTCAATTGCTTGAGGCC